GCCAACGTTTTGTTTAGCTAGAAAGATATGCCGAAAAAAACGATACCGGTAGCGACAAAAACTGCGGGGAACTATGCAAAAAACGCATCATCCCACGGACAGCCCGTGTGTTGGCCAATTATTTCTTTCCTTGTAACCTCATCATCATTTCTGGGTACGCCGTAACATTAGCCGTGACAATTCACTAATTAGCATGCTCCACGCACCAACCTATAGTAGTCTGCACAATTGTGACTCATTGCTTGTTTGAAACTGGTATTCTTATCAGCGTCGATTAGCTCTCTCTAAAAGAAATAAAAACTCTTTTGTGCCACGTCCCTCAAAAAGGGGTGGGGTAGTTGCTCATTCAGCTATTTGCAGATTTTCAGTCTTCAAGCAATCATTATCAACGCAAATCCTACCAGCGTCACTAGTCTGGATGATAAGGATTATCGACCCTTTTCAAACACCGACTGCTTATCGTAGCTTCTAGCTCCAACGAACCGGATATTTAAATCTAAGCCTTTTAAAATTTCGTTACATTTTTAAGTCATACACCGTATTGAAAATTTTCATATAGCTAGCTGAATTTAAGACAACGTATGCTGAACTGAAGTAATGTCACTGTTCAAATGTATTGATGCATTTGCTAATTATCAGATCTATCGCATGACGTGTGATCACAAAAAAAAAAAATTCCATCTGGCATGAGCTAGCAGTTAAGAAAAAATTCATATAACTCAGTTTTTTGCGCCTGCTTGTTCAAGAAACAAGCAACAAACACCTTGGTCTAAGGGTCGCACGTTGTGCTTTAGTGATGTTGGAATTAGTCAACTGATGATTTATGGGACGTTGAGCATAAATTTTGAATCAAAATTATCCGAGTGCATTAACTACCAGCTGTATATACTGTTCGCCGCCAATGACAGGTGAAGAAACGTAAACGCTCATCCGGCATCAATAAGAACACTCTTGTACATCTTTCAGCGTACCTTGTAATATTGAGGCCAAGACTCAGAACGGTTTTGTCCTGCGAACAATCGCATCTGCACTTGGACTGTTCGCGCCCAACTCTTGTGTGAATCGTACGATAAGGTTACGATTATCAGTCCTGATGTCCAAAACTGTTTTGACGGATTGCATCTTCTTACTTCGATACCATTCATAATATTCCAAGACGAATGGTTCCTGTTGATATTGAAAACACTCTATCTTCCGGTCCATAACGGTCGAAAGATTTGGAGCGACAGCGCTCGAATACCAACGAATTTTTCGCAGGAAGCAGCGAACCAAATGTCCCACCGAACTCATTGACTAGCGACGATCGCTTTGCGGCTTGACTGTTAACTGCATTTCTGTATTTCTGCTATTCTGTTTCCGACTCAACTCGTCAGCTGCTGCACAGTTCCTTCGAATGCCGTTGTCGTGATGGCCGTCAACTCATCATGTACTGCGCCACGTAGTCGCGCCCTCGTCTAAGCCTCAATTCAGCACAGCCTGGTTCGCACGACAGTAGCATTGTAACGAAGAGCAGGAAATAATTCAGTGTCGAAATATACCGGGACAGCTGGAATATAACGCTGGGATTTGAATCGAAACCCCCTGATACAGCTGAGGAGTCCTATGCACCTTGGCAATTTTATTCGAGAAAAAGGGCAGAGATATGCAAATGTCCCATCGCTTTATATTTCGTTGCAATTGTTGCTTTTTTATGTGTCGGGAGTGCCGCTGCAAGCACCAATTTGTTGTTATTGTTTCACTTGGGGTCAAAACAAGCCATCGCTGACCTTATACTGATCCTTATTTGTCTCCCCAACCACCGAAGGGCAATGTTATTTTATTAATGGCTGTTAGTAGGATTTCACTGGCCGAGGGGGGAGGAGCAGACCATAGGCGGGATTCTTTCCAAAAGGGAC